AGCACCGCCTCGCCGAACAATTTCTGCGGTTTATTATCTTTTACGGCCACTTCTCTGCCCGACTTTTCGAGTTTTCTCTCCGACAATGCCAATGCCCCAACGGTTCCCTCGCTGAGAGGGAGGATCCGTTAATCGACGAGCGCGCAAAACGCAGTTGGTCGGCCGCCGCCGCCGCCGCCGACCGTCGAGGAGAATCGCCGTGGAGGAAACGCGCGTTGACAAATTGCCGGGCGGCCGGTATGGTAATCCGATAATAGAGAGCGCAGGTTGATTCGGGACTAACGAGATTAATTATCTTGTTTGATCTTGTGACACTGGCCCCGTTAATGCAGTCGCGCGTGCTCACCCGCCTGCCTATCCGCCCGTCTGCCTGCCTGCCTGCCTGCCTGCCTACTGCTTCCACCTAGACTCGCGTCTAGGTCAGAAACGCTCGTTACCCCGATCCGCTCGATTTCGCGTTTTTCCCCTCCCCGTCGAACGTCAACTCGAGGAGCAGCCATGTATGCTGCGTCCATAGATGCGTGTATCTCGAAGGATCGCGACGATGAAAACGATGAGATCGCAGATGTAGAGCAGAGTAGAGTAGAGTTGTAGGAAATACGGTTGCAGCCATGGCAACTCTCCTCCCCGCTCTTCTTCCTTCTCCTTCTCTCCGTGGGGGTGCGTGTGCGGACACGAAACGAATGCACGGAACGTGCACGCAGCCCGGGCGCGGATCCTCTTTAATCCGTGGCAGCGTGCCGTTGGCTGCTGCGTGCTTTGCTTCGTGACGGATCGATAACCGATAACAACCGGGTCGAAGCATTGCCATGCAAAACAGCTCGTTAGGCGTCTCCTAAGGTCTCGCGCGCTCGCGTGCCCGCCTTTATCCCTCGAAAGACGCCTCGAGACGTTTGGTTGGCGCCTCTTCCCGTCTCCTCCTCGTCGAGGAGCAACGGGGACGGAACGGAACGGAACCCTCCGACGGAGGAGAGACACAGGCTTATTATTCCCGCGGTCTCCTTCACAAGGAGGAGAAGGAGGAATATCCCCGTCCAAGGATCTCGTGTAATACTCGACACGTTTCGCGGAGAACGGAAGATGGGGGCAATTAGTGGGCTGGACGAGGCGCCCAACTCCAAACGCGTAGAGAGCACTAGTTTTCGATCGTTGGAGACGAGTGAAAAGATTCGAGTCGATTCGACGAGTGGCGGATTCCTTTGGTTCATTCCTTCCTCTCTCGCTCCGATTGTTCTCTCGGTTACAGAAGGATCTTTAATGAGCGGGCTTGGACGGATTCTTCTTCAGATGTTTATCGAGAGGAGGATAATATAACGAGACTGCGATCCAGGCCTTTTCTACCATTTTTAAATTCAAACTGGATTCCCCTCCCTCCTCCTCCTCCTTCTCCTCCTTCTCCTCCACGCCCTCCCATCCGAAAAAATGGACCGAAAAATCACACTTCTTACCACTTACGTCTCGGCTATCCACGATATCCGGAAACGAAGAGGAGAGAGAAGGGAGACCCTTCAGAGAGTAGCGTAATCCACGCAAAGCGGCGTACACGACGTAAACGCCGCCACTCTCTCTCTCTCTCTCTCTCTCTTTCTCTCCCTCTTCTCGCATCTAGCATCCTCTTTCGCATGCGTGGCGGCTGCGGTCTCCGCGTTGTTGGCTGGCTTCACCGGTTGAATCGGAGGCCGAAGGTGCGGGAAGATAGGAGGGGGGAGGCAGGGTGGTTACTAATTGTCCGAGTCCTTCACCCCCTCATCAACGCTGATTGCCTAAATCTAGGACCCTCGAGCTCTGTCCTCACGATCCTGCCTCTACAGCCGCGAGTAGTCGGCAGCAGCAGCAGGAGGAGGAGGAGGAGGAGGAGGAGGATCCTCTCTGGCATGTTGACACGCGCGGGAATCGTTGGAATACTTTGCGTCTACCGCCTTGTTCCACCATCCACCATTCACCTCCCTTCGTTCCGTCGGAGGAGAAATTTTCTGGACGAAGGAAGAAGGAAACGGGGGAGGAGGGTTTTGTTTTGTTGAAATTTGCTTCTTTCGTGTCATTTTTTCCCTTTTTTCTTTTCATCTCTGCTCTGAGAGGAAGAACGAGACGAGATATTCGAGAAATATTATATTTCGAATTGTCGCCAATTCGCATATAAGTCGAAAATAAGATAGGTTTGGTTTAGTTTCGGTCGATTGATTTAAGAATCTGCCTAACGGGATGAAGAGAAACCGTAAACGATGATGAATTCGAAGGCTGGTTAAGCTTATTATTCGCGTAAACCATAGGCAGGTAAAACGTTAGACAAGGGGGCAAAAGTCTGTTTCGGTTATTCGGTTATTTATTTTCCATTTTGAAACAAGTGCAGGTATTTTGACGACGATTTCCACGATTTTCTCCGTGTAGGTACCGGTGATCCATTAGAAGAAGAGCTGCACGCTATCCGAAAAGGGCTCGTCAAACATCGTCCATTTACGAGGGCCGGGGTGAAAAATGGCGAGGCGAGGAAGTCCGTCCTCGGAAAGTCGATTATTCCGCCGGTGATTCGGGGCGCTGATTTTTTTCCTCTCTTCTCCCGCTGGCTGACTCAATTATTCGTCGCGATTCTTTGAGCAAACATTAGTTAGTACCGACTGGCTCGCGCGCACGGATTACCTCCGATCGGTTTGACTCGGTTCGTGCGGCGACCCTTCATGGTTGCTTGCTTCTGTTGTCTACTCGTCAACGAACAGCCCCACGGCGACGGGGTGTTAACGCGGTTCTCATTTTCCCTCTCGTTCCCATCCTTCCCGTTCAATTTCCCAAAAAAAAAAAAAAAAACGCGCCCTCTCCCCCTTCTTCTCCAACATTTCCAAATTATTACAAATTATCATAAAATTTATTTCCAATATCGAAGCGTCAAAATTGCCATTGATTAGGCGTTTTTCCTTTCGAAAGAAGAAAAAAAAGGAAAATTTTTTTCAATCGCGCAATACGCGGATAGTTTTCTTCTTCCTTTTTTTTTTTTTTTTTTTTTTTTTTTTCACCTCGAGCGTAAAATATAAATTTTTGAAATTCGAATTCGGCGGAACGGTGATAAAATAATGGGGGAGAGAGGGGGAAAAAAATATCTCGAAGCTGATCGAGACGATTTCGACTGTAGTCCGGCCGCAAACATCGGGTCTCCGAAAACGAGGAGACCAGCTCGCTTTTTAATATTCATCCCATTTTCCCGAGGCATTCGTTATCAGAGTCGATAACTCGGTCGGTCGCTATTCACGGGAAATTCCGATGGTTTTCTTCGGAGGGGAGGGGGAGCTGAGTTATACCGTGTCACCGAGATTAACTGTCCACGACTTTCATGCACCGGGTTGACAAACGTATCCGGCAACGATCGAGCGAAAACGAAAACAAACGGGGAGAGCAGACCGACAAACTAAAAAAAAGAGAGAGAGAGAGAGATAAAGAAAATAGAATAGAATAAAAGAGGAGAGGAGAGGGAAGGGGGGGGGGGAAATGAAATATAAAAAAAAACACGTGGAACCTCGTGTCCTAGGTTATGTTTCACGGTGACATAGTGGCGGCAATGGAGGCTTTGCCTATCGTAACGCGATATCCGCTGGAAATGTCGAATTTGAAGTATTCCTCGTCGCGTTTGCCGCACGGAAATTACCGGTGCCCCAAATTTCACGGTACCGCGCCTTTTTCCATCGTCGAACGATTACTCTCACGGCTTGACCGGTAGAGAGAGAGAGAGAGAGAGAGAGGGGGAGAGAGAGAGAAAAAAATGTTCGTGTGGAAAAAAAAAAGTTTCGTCACTCTTTGCTGCCGTTTCCCCGAGCACCATCAACGAGATCAACTCTCTCTCTCTCTCTCTCTCCTCTCTTTTTCTCTCTCGTTCGAAACACTCGATCGCGATCGTACGAGGTTTGAGAGACACTGCCGTTCCGCTGCTCTATCGCTACTAATACAGATCTCACGCGCTCCCCTCGATATAAACCATTCTCTACCCTCGTGCCGTGTGGCCGTATGGGAACCCATACGTGCACACGCAGCAACCTTGAACGACCACGGCGGAACGGCTATTCAGATTTAAATCGCGTCAAAAGAAATATGGATTCCCCTTGCACAGCCACGAAACATCTTTCTGGGACTGTTTCCACGCGTGCAAGACGTGTACCGTTTATTTAGGGGGAGGGGGGGTAGATCACCGTTACAAATACCATTTCCAAATAGTCGGTTTCGAAATAAGTTAATAAAATAAAAATTCTTGTTTGGCGGAGAAATAATTGAAAGAATGGCGAGTCGAAGCAATATTTTCGACAATATTTTGGAAGAGTTGGAGTAATTTTCGAAGGAAAAGATCGAAAAGGGAGGGGGGGATATAGAATCGAAATTAAATTTACGCAATGATTTGAATTTTATTTTTGCATCGTATCTCTATATATACCATCTGTTTACATTAAATTAGATCTCTGGTTTATAAATAATATTAACATCTCTGTCTTTTTTTTTTTTTTTTTTTTTTTTTTTT